AGGAAAATATGGTATATTAGTTTACAAATCGAATTTATAGCTTTTGCTTAGTCCAGCCATTGGCCTGGTTCATCAGGCACTGCCTACAGGTCACCAGGGCCTTTATGGTACAGATATTTCCCAGCCCTGCTGCTTAATGTGTATCCTGCCTTTCATCTGCTATTAAACTGAGCTTACAACCTGTATGGAAGCTGTTAACCCATAGATACCGGTAAGTTAGAAATCTATTTCAGATGGAAGCAAAAGAAAAATATTTGAAAACGCATTGAAATAAGTTGCAAAATTCTATGTTTCATTTCTACTCTTGGGGAATGAGCTTCTGTGGTAACAAATACTAATGCAGACTGCTTTAATATTTGCCAATCATTTTCTAGTAAGCAAAATCAAGTAGGGAACATAGGAGACAATCCACCAGTGGGATAAACCAGAATTTTGTGACCTTGCAAATAAGTGATCAGGAGTTAGGCATACACCATCCTCTCCACAGCTAAATTAATGGGGTGAAACAGACAGGCCAAATGAAGTGGCTTCTAAATGCTTTGGAGGCATGCTGATTAAATGATACATGGCTCCAAAGTGTCTGGAAGCCACGCCGAAGGACCATGCCAAAGGACCAGAGCAAAAAGGAGCTGGGATAATCAGACTTCTGTGGCACCGGTCAGCCCCTGCCTTGGGAATGGGCTGTGCAGACAGCAGGGTTCTGACACATTTCGGCTGGAGCGGACTTGGGTCTCTCTTTCATGCCTATCTGTTCTGGGCCAATGTCTATAGAGTTCACAGCTGCATTGAGCCCCATCTGGGAGAAAGGTGGGATATAAAATCAAATAAATAAACAAATCAAATAAATAAACAAATAAATGGTGTAATGCTGTCCAAATACAAAATGTCAGCGAAACAACTGTGCTATGACAGTTGTCAGCTTTTAAACTGCATCCCACATATAATCACTTGATTTTTTTCACAACCTGACTAAACACTTGGTGACTCACAGTTGAATGTGTAAACTGTCTTTGCAGATCAATGAATGATCTGTACAAAGAGGATTTGGGAAAGAGTAGAAATGCAATTGCTCAGACAGACATTTTATTTACCTTGTGGTTACATGGCAAGAATCTTGTAACTTGACCAAGGCTAAATATCTTCAAACAGAGTCTACACTGCAAACCTGGATCAAGTAAACTGCTACATTTCCTAACCAGCACAGTAGGTAATGAATTTATTATTTGTACTGGCGTGCAACTTAATCTGAAAAGCAAATAACAAATTCAACTGCATTAGTTAATCTGTTCTTTTATCTTTCTTTCTTTCTTTTTCTTTGGACTTATTTCTAAGAATTTTTATACCCCAAGTAAGTGTTTAAAATCTGAAGGTAAGGCTTATGTATTTCTTACACATCCCATGGTCTTATAGACATCAATATGACACCAATCAAAGAAGTGTGCATATTTGTTTTGTGCAGCATAAAAAGAAGGGAGGGGGAGGGGGAAAAGAAGAAAAGAAAGAGGGGAATTAAAAAAGAAAAAGAAAGGTTTCTATTTTCTCCTCCTCCCTTTATTTTATGATATCAATCAGTATGAGTAATTGTGTGCTAGTTCTTACTTCAGTAAAACCATAAGTTTGAGTGACATTTCTTTAAATATAAATAAATACAATTCCATATACAGACCTTAAAATATTACACTGATAGCAAAAGATATGGAACACAGTTTATTATTCCCCTCCAAAAAACTATTTAGGATTTCCCATCTCCAGAATATTGTCTTAATTAAAATGAACTCAAATAACTTTCACTAAATCTTACATTTCATTAGACATCTCTGAATTAACGCTCTGCAGATTTTCTTCTGAAGTTGATAGTTTTACTGTAGGGTCAAGTAACCTCCATATTTGATTCCTTTTCTATAGAACAGCAAAAAATTAATTAAAAAACTAAACAACTGTTGGAATTGCTTTAAGAGTATTATCAGCAAATGCTTTTTCAAACATACACAGGCAATTGAAAAATAAATTAATTTTAGAATATTTATATGAAAAATAAACCAATCAAAACTTATAAAATCTCCAAAGATATGGGGTAAGAAAACTGGGGCCTTCCAGACACTGATAGACTGCAACTTCCACCAGATGTCACCAGCATAACCAATGGTAAGGAATCCTGGGAGTTGTAGCCTTGTGCCTAGAGTAGATACTCTATATCATGCCTAAACCTGGAAGAATAAAGATAATAAGAGTACACTTAGATGCAAATTTACTTACAGCCATCACAGTGATCCTTCAAAGTTACACTGTCCTGTGCATGACTGTGAGGATGGCAAGTATTAAGTCAGTGTCCAATCTGTTCAAGCAGCCCTAGTTCAAGATGACTATCAACAGTTGGAGTTGGCTTCAAAAAGACTCCTTTTGGGTTTCAATATTCTTTCACTGGCAAAAGTAGCATGCAAATCTCTAGGGATATTTATATGTTGTTGTTGTGTGCCTTCAAGTTATTTCCAATTTATGGTGACCCTAAGGCAAACCTATCATGCGGTTTTCTTGGCACATTTCTTCAGAGGGGGTTTGTCATTACCATCCTTTGAGGCTGAGAGAGTGTGACTTGCCCAAGGTCACCCAGTGTGTTTACATGGCTGAACTGGGATTCGAACACTGGTCTCCAGAGTCCTTGTCTGGTGTTCAAACCACTGCACCATGTTGGCTCTATAAAACAGAAGTTTGTGCTATAGCACGAACTGTCTTATTGGCACTTAGAACTGCAAGAGCAAAAAGGAAGAGTAAATCCTACCAAGCTTTCTGCAAATGAAATATTCCTTTGAGGTTTGAAAGACACCTCATTTCACATTAGCCTTATGATCAGTGTCAAAGTAAGGGAGAGAGACAATCTTTTATATCTGGGATAAATCAAATTCATCTACGTGCTTTTTAAAGGATTTTGGAGATGTTGTTTCTCCCAATAGACACCCTGCATGAAATACAGTCATCAGCTTCACGATCACATCAAGTTAACAAGATAGTAAACCAGTAACAAAGGGATCAGAAAGGTAAGTCACATTGCATAGGATAGTTAACAGATTAAAGGTGAGAGATCTGGCCAGCTTTGCCTGCTGTATAGCCCATCCCTTTGTGCAGGGCTCTGAAAGGTGTGTGTGTGTGTGTGTGTGTGCATCTATCTATCTATCTATCTATCTATCTATCTATCTATCTATCTTTGAGGAGATATATATATCATATACGCCACACAGGAATTTGCCAGGCATACTATCTGGAAGTTTTTGGAAGCTATTGCATAAAAAGTAACTTTCCCAAATCCTGTCTATATGCAAATTTACTTAGAGGTGCTGCTGTGCTCAAAAAAACTTACTCCATAGTAAATTTGCTTAGAGTTGCCCAACATTCTCTGTGCCCCTCCTGAATAGTAAAGTCTACACAAGACAATACAAAAGATATCACAGATTTTTCTATCATATACCATAGATCCATCTGGTAGGATGAGTTAACAGACTCTTGCATTAATATTTTCTTGTTAAACTCTTGGATTAAGATATATTTTAACAAGCTGGGTGACAGCAATACTGTACCTCTCTGAAAGCAAAATTATGTGAAGAATGATAAAAACTCCTGAAACATCTGTCACACAGGTGGTAATCACTACATTCAGTACACCTTGAAAACAAAATATAACAATGGTCAGTTGTTTCCTAAATTTCCTCTCTCTCATACAAGCTTGTTAAAAATTCTGTTTTATGACAAACATTTTAAATACTCAGGCTGACTGATTTAAGATTTATTTTCAGTTTAATACAGAACACTCTACTTAGATCCTAGCTGCATACGCCATATTAATTAGCAGGCGAAAGGTTGTATATTGCTTTAATGCTTTTTTAATCCCATCAATAAAACACTGTACACTCAGCATAAGCAGGTATGTGCAGCTCTCAGAACTACAGGATCTCACTTCCCTTTTATCATAGTTCTCAAAACCAATTAATTCTGAAAGCACATGTTTCAAGATTCATTTAATTCAAACTTGTCTGTCATGGGAAACAGAGTTGGGCAGGCAAAATGAAAAGATGCTGACTTGTATGGAATGTTAGAATTAAAACCTCTATACTCAACACTCTAGGGTACTAACTAAGGTGCTCTTCGAGAGTAGGAGACAATAGCTTGGCTTTCTTTATATGGAAAGAGGAAAGCCATACAAAAATCACTCTCTTCAAATGAACACTAGGTGGAGCAACAGTCTCCCTCTAGCATTTTAAAATGTTAAGCAAAAATAATGACCACAGAAGAAATACACAAATTCAATCTAGACAATGAGGAAATTGTAGTTAAAGAATTCCCATATCAAACATTGACCAGAATGGAGACTGCAGTCAAGAAATAAGAAGAAGACTAGGAATGGGAAGGGCAGCCATGAAAGAACCGGAAAAGATACTGAAGAGCAAAGATATACAACTGAGCACTAAAGTCAGAACCGTCCAGGCCATTATATTCCCAATTACAGTATACAGATGCAAGAGCTGGACAGTGAAGGAAGCAGACAGAAAGAAAACCAACTTATTTGAAATGTGGTGCTGGAGAAGAGTACCGTATTTTCTGGCGTATAAGACTTTAGCCATAAATTTTGCAGGTAAAAAAGTAGTCTTACATGGGATACCATGGATAGCCAAGAAGACAAACAAATGAGTTCTTGAGCAGATCACACCAAGGCTGTCCTTGGAAGCAAAGATGATCAAGTTGAGACTATCATACTTTGGCCACATAAAGAGAAGGCATGGATCACTAGAAAAAACAATAATGCTAGGAAAGACAGAGGGCAGAACAAAGAGAGGAAGACCACAGACCAGATGGATAGACTCAATGAGGGGGGTTATAGGCAAGGGCTGCAGGATCTGGGCAAGACAGTGGAGGACAGAGATTCTTGGAGATGTTTCATCAAGGGCAGCTAACAACAATTTTTCATTAGCTGGGGGATGAGGTGGGGTGGGGATACTGTTTGATTTAGGCTTCTGTCAATCACTTTCCACTGCAAGAGATCTAAAGAGGAAGCAGGTACGGTAGTATCAACCGGAACATTAATTCTAAAACTCCATGCTGTTAGGATTATTCAATTTTTTAAAAAAAAACACAGTTATATAAAACAGTTATTATGGTAAGCATTTGCTGTACTGGATTCTATTATCCAAGCTACCGTACATACCGTATTTTCCGGCGTATAAGACGACTGGGCGTATAAGACG